TAACAATAATGATCATAACAAAAGTAACAATAATAATAACAGTAGCAGCAATAATAAGAAAAATAAGAGTGATAATAACAACAACAGGAACAGCAGCGACAACAACAATAATACTGAAAATAATAATGATGATACAAATAAGAGTAATCATAATAAAAAATATTGCGATAACTATAACGATGATAATAATGACAGCAAGAACTATGATGATAATAATAATAGCAATTACAACAATGATAACAACCAACAAATGCAACAATAATAATGACAATGATAATAGTAAAATAAAAATGATAAAAATAATTATGATGATAAAAATAACAACATAATAATGAAAATAATAATGATAATGTTAATAATATTAATAACAAAAATATTAAGAAATAATGATGATAATGATAATAATATAAATAACAAAAAATATTAAGAAATAATGATAATAACAATAACAATGATAATGATAATAAAAGTAATTATAACAATAATAAAGCTAATAATGATAAGAATGATATTCATAATAATAATAATAATCGTAGTGATAATAATAATAATCGTAGTGATAATAATGATAATAGTACTGATCAAAATAATAATGATAATAATAATAATGATAAAAATAATAATGATAGCAATGATAATGATTATAATAACGATGATAATAATAATCATAATAATGATAACAATAATAATAGTAATGAAATAACAATAATGTTTACAATAATGTTATAGATATTATTAGTTACAATAAATGCAAAACTACTACCAATAACAATAGTAATAATAATAGAGCTAATAATGATGATGATAATAATAATGATAATAATAACAATTGTAATGATAATAAAAATAATCATTATAATAATGATCATAGTATTAATAATCATAATCATAATAATAACAATGATAATACATAATAATGATGATAATTATGATAAAAATAATGATGATAGAAATAATAACAATAATAAAAATAGTAGTAGTAATAATATTGATAATGATGATGATGATGATAATGATGATAATAATAATAATAATAATAATAATAATAATAATAATAATAATAATAATAATTATAATAATGACAGTAATGACAATAACAACAACAGCAATAATATTGATACTAATACTAATACTAATAATGATAACTACAACAATAATGTTAATAACAGTAATAAACTAGTAATAATACTAGCAATAATGATAATGATAATAGTAATAACACTGATAATGATAATAGTAATAACACTGATAATGATAATAATATTGATAATAATAATAATGATAATTATAACAGTAATGATGATGATAATCATAACAACAACAACAATAATAATAATAATGATAATAACATCAATAACATTTATATTTCCACTAAAGTAACGATAATAAAAATAATAATATCAATGATAAGAGCAACAATAGTAATAATGGTAATAACAATAATACTGATAATAACATTGATAATGATGATACTGTCAAAATTAGTAATCATAGTAATGATAGTCATAGTAATGGTAATAATAACTAATTATGATTATAATAATACTCATAATGTAATAATCATAATGATAAGAATAATGATAATGATAATAATAATAATAATAATAATAATAATAATAATAATAAAATGATAATAATAACAGTAATAATAGTGATGAAGGTATGGTTAATAGCTCTTAATAAGAACAACAACAGCAAGGACAACAACTGTTGGAACAACAAGAAGAAACATATTTTTAGTAGCAATAACAGCATTTGTTATTATTGTTATAACAATAATAATTATAATTATCATTATTATTATCATAATGATGAAAATCATAATCCTGAAAATGATAATGATAATGATGATAAAAATAACAACATAATAATGAAAATAATAATGATAATGATAATAATATTAATAACAAAAATATTAAGAAATAATGATGATAATGATAATAATATTAATAACAAAAAATTAAGAAAATAATGATAAACAATAACAATAATAATGATAATAAAAGTAATTATAACAATAATAAAGCTAATAATGATAAGAATGATATTCATAATAATAATAATAATCGTAGTGATAATTATAAAATAGTACTGATCAAAATAATAATGATAATAATAATAATGATAAAATAATAATGAAGCAATGATAATGATTATAATAACGATGATAATAATAATCATAATAATGATAATAATAATAATAGTAATGAAATAACAATAATGTTTACAATAATGCTATAGATATTATTAGTTACAATAAATGCAAAACCACTACCAATAACAATAGTAATAATAATAGAGCTAATAATGATGATGATAATAATAATGATAATAATAACAATTGTAATGATAATAAAAATAATCATTATAATAATGATCATAGTATTAATAATCATAATCATAATAATAACAATGATAATACATAATAATGATGATAATTATGATAAAAATAATGATGATAGAAATAATAACAATAAAAATAGTAGTAGTAATAATATTGATAATGATGATGATGATGATAATGATGATAATAATAATAATAATAATAATAATAATAATAATAATAATAATAATAATAATAATAATTATAATAATGACAGTAATGACAATAACAACAACAGCAATAATATTGATACTAATACTAATACTAATAATGATAACTACAACAATAATGTTAATAACAGTAATAAACTAGTAATAATACTAGCAATAATGATAATGATAATAGTAATAACACTGATAATGATAATAGTAATAACACTGATAATGATATATAATAATTGATAATAATAATAATGATAATTATAACAGTAATGATGATGATAATCATAACAACAACAACAATAATAATAATAATGATAATAACATCAATAACATTTATATTTCCACTAAAGTAACGATAATAAAAATAATAATATCAATGATAAGAGCAACAATAGTAATAATGGTAATAACAATAATACTGATAATAACATTGATAATGATGATACTGTCAAAATTAGTAATCATAGTAATGATAGTCATAGTAATGGTAATAATAACTAATTATGATTATAATAATACTCATAATGTAATAATCATAATGATAAGAATAATGATAATGATAATAATAATAATAATAATAATAATAATAATAATAATAAAAATGATAATAATAACAGTAATAATAGTGATGAAGGTATGGTTAATAGCTCTTAATAAGAACAACAACAGCAAGGACAACAACTGTTGGAACAACAAGAAGAAACATATTTTTAGTAGCAATAACAGCATTTGTTATTATTGTTATAACAATAATAATTATAATTATCATTATTATTATCATAATGATGAAAATCATAATCCTGAAAATGATAATGATAATGATGATAAAAATAACAACATAATAATGAAAATAATAATGATAATGATAATAATATTAATAACAAAAATATTAAGAAATAATGATGATAATGATAATAATATTAATAACAAAAAATATTAAGAAATAATGATAATAACAATAACAATAATAATGATAATAAAAGTAATTATAACAATAATAAAGCTAATAATGATAAGAATGATATTCATAATAATAATAATAATCGTAGTGATAATTATAATAATAGTACTGATCAAAATAATAATGATAATAATAATAATGATAAAAATAATAATGATAGCAATGATAATGATTATAATAACGATGATAATAATAATCATAATAATGATAATAATAATAATAGTAATGAAATAACAATAATGTTTACAATAATGCTATAGATATTATTAGTTACAATAAATGCAAAACCACTACCAATAACAATAGTAATAACAATAGAGCTAATAATGATGATGATAATAATAATGATAATAATAACAATTGTAATGATAATAATAATTATTATTATAATAATGATGATAGTATTGATAATCATAATCATAATAATAACAATGATAATACATAATAATGATGATAATTATGATAAAAATAATGATGATAGAAATAATAACAATAATAAAAATAGTAGTAGTAATAATATTGATAATGATGATGATGATGATGATGATGATGATGATGATGATGATGATGATGATGATGATGATAATAATAATAATAATAATAATTATAATAATGACAGTAATGACAATAACAACAACAGCAATAATATTGATACTAATACTAATACTAATAATGATAACTACAACAATAATGTTAATAACAATAATAAACTAGTAATAATACTAGCAATAATGATAATGATAATAGTAATAACACTGATAATGATAATAATATTGATAATAATAATAATGATAATTATAACAGTAATGATGATGATAATCATAACAACAACAATAATAATAATAATGATAATAATATCAATAACATTTATATTTCCACTAAAGTAACGATAATAACAATAATAATATCAATGATAAGAGCAACAATAGTAATAATGGTAATAACAATAATACTGATAATAACATTGATAATGATGATACTGTCAAAATTAATAATCATAGTAATGATAGTCATAGTAATGGTAATAATAACTAATTATGATTATAATAATACTCATAATGTAATAATCATAATGATAAAAATAATGATAATGATAATAATAATAATAATAATAATAATAATCAAAATGATAATAATAACAGTAATAATAGCGATGAAGGTATGGTTAATAGCTCTTAATAAGAACAACAACAGCAAGGACAACAACTGTTGGAACAACAAGAAGAAAGATATTTTTAGTAGCAATAACAGCATTTGTTATTATTGTTATAACAATAATAATTATAATTATCATTATTATTATTATTATAATGATGAAAATCATAATCCTGAAAATGATAATAATCACAATGATGACAATAACAATATCGATAATGGTACTAATATTAATAATAATAGTAGTAATGCTATTACTGTAACAGTTACTACTACTACACCTAATACTACCACTGTCACTACTAGCACCAGTAATAATAGTAATGAGAATTGTCATTACCATGAACATCACTGTTACTCATTATTCCGGTAATTTCGCCTCAGCTGGTTCGACGAAATCATTTACTCGGACTCTTATTTGCACTGATGACTAAATGTACATCTTGGTAACCTGTAAGTACATGCAGTCGAATAATTTGCAGTTCACTGATATATCTCAGCTTACCTTTTTATGTCTTATCCTTTATTTACAAAAGTAATATTGACTGGGTTGAATAGAAATAGAAGGAAAATACATGACTTGGCTAGAAACAAAAATCGGGATGGACAGTCACAATATGAACAAAACATCTTTGCAAGAATGTTTTGAAACTTGCAGTCCATCCAAAGTGAACTTTCGCTAACCGAAAAAGACGCTAGATGGACTCAGAAGTGCACCTTCCTTCCGCGAGGCATGCAGCACACTGCTCGGAACATGCCACCCGGCGCTCCCTCACTTGTTGCCTGCGTTATCGCCTCAGAACGAAGGAAGGAAATGCGTTCGTCAAACTCCGCGACGATTTTCGTGCGAGTACGGAGGCGCTTGGGGGCAAGGTCTGCCTGGGGGGTTCGGCGCCTGGTGTCGTTAATGCTACGCTTCGTATTTCGCGCCTTCATATCTAAAGCCTTGCTGTAGTTTCTGAATGCGTGCTCTGTTTTGATAGAGACATGGCAACACATTTACAGTATGCTATGGTTAAGAATCACCTTTTCAGTTTGTATCTGTAGTATGAAAATATGAAAAGTACTATATAGAGTCATACATTCCTTCATTTTTTTTATTTTTTTTTTATGAACATGAAATCACCAGAAGAGATTTGTGAAGCATGGTATGGAAATTCAGAAACAAAAGAGACTGAGGCGAAGGACATGCATAACCAGCAACAAATATTTTGTCAATGATCTTAAAATTTAGATTATATGAAATTTCTCTTCTTGTTGTTCCTATTATCATTGCCACTATGTTATCGTTAAAGGTATTGTTGTTAATGCTATTTCTATTTTTATTATTATTATTATGATCATTGCATTTTATTATTATTATTGCCACTATCATCATTACAATCATTATTAGAATAATAATAATTTTCAGGAGTATTATGGGCGTCATTATCACTCATTATTGTTTTTGTCCTTACTTAACTCATTATGTTGCTGCTACATGGTATTGGTGTTACAGCTTATCAATCATGTTATCCAAGTTTTCAGGCTAACCCCTTTTCTGGTTCTTCTCTGAGTGCAGTCCCTCCTGCAGCTGGCATTTTCTTTGCATCGAGAAATTCTCGGATGATTCGTGCAGTCCCAAGAAGGCAGGATCCGCGCGGCGCATCTTCTCGCAGGCGGATGTTTAGCTTTCTATTCTCAAATTCTGTCACTTTTACCTAAGAACCTATGGAAATTTAGAGCTTCGTTCCAGTATTTCAGAATTTAACTTTTCAAAGATTATACTCGTCAATTACATGTGACGTAATTGCCGAGGCAGTTAACAGAAAAAAAACATTCTTTTCATCCAAAGCTCTCTCGTTTCTTAAAAAACAATTCCGATTATGTTTTACCGCCCTCGTTTTGAGCAGTTGATGACGTCAACTGCAGTGGACTCTTTGGGTACATTATATCAAAATACATGCAATTTTCATCGTTATTCCGCAGTAGGTACTCAAAATGGAATAAATGAACGTAGAAAGATAATAATCACTGTAGATTTAGATCGAATTTATAAAACTACTGGCGAAACGGTCTCAACTGGAGTTGCTCCCACCATTGTTCGTGACGTCACACCCCACGGACACAGCAAACAACCACTTAAAAAACAGCCCAGATAGACCTTGTTTTCATATCATCCATTTACGCTCCACCCAGTAAGTGGTTCCTGCCCAATATATTATCTGTGGTATTACCCTTCACTTCACTGATTGTATCATTATCATTATCTGTGTTATTACCATTATTGATATTGTTATTGATATCACATCATCATCATCATCATTGTCCTCATTCTCATCCTCCTCACAATTATTATCAATATCATTTTCATCATCCTTATTATGATTTTCATGATTATAATATAGATTATTATTACTGTCATTATTATTATTTAATTATCATTTTTTATTATTATCATTATTATTGTCATCATAATTGTCATTATCATTATCTTTCTTATTATCATCATAATGATGATAATAATAATAATAATAATAATAATAATGATAATAATAATAATAATAATAATGATTATTATTATTATTATTATTATTATTATTATTATTATTATTATTATTATTATTATCATTGTTATTATTACTGTTATGATTGTCCTCGTCCATCATCATCATTATTATATTCATCTAAATTCATCAAAATTTGTTATCATTATTGTTTATCATTATCTTCATCATTATCATTATCATAATCATTATTTTTATAGTTGTTATGGTTGTAGTAATGAAAATGATAATGGTAATAGCGATAATGATAATAAGGATGATAATGATAATAATAATAATAAAAGTGATAGTCATGATAATTGTAATTGTTGTCATTGTTATTAAGATGTTTTTTTATTATCATCAATGTTATTATCATTATCACCATCACCATCATCATTGCTATCACTATCATTATCATTGTTATTTTTCAGTTATCATAATTATTATCATTATGGCCATTATTATTATATTCATTATCATCATCATTATTATTAGATGTATTATCATCATTATTATTATCATTATTATTGTGTTATTAATATTATAATTCTTACTCTCATTATTATAACCATCATCCTTATCCTTACCATCATTTTTATCATAATCATCATCATTATTACCATTGTCATCTTTATTATCATTGCTATCATCATCATCACTATTATCATTATAATAATTATTATTATTATCATTATTATCATTATAATTATTGTTACTGCTACTACTACTACTACTATAGTAATTATTAATATTAATATTATTATTATTATCATTATTATTATTATCATTACTATTTTCATTGTTATCATGATCATCTTTATTGTCATC